TTTATTATGTCATCCGAAATACAAGGTGCTGGCATTTACTCTGAGTAATTGCTTGCTGTAAAATATCTTTGAAATCTAAATCTAATTTTTTTTTCCTTCTCTAGATAATCCATAATAAGCTAATAAAACAATTAGAAAATATCGTTATAAGCTTTTCCTTTGATCGATTAATTTCAGGTAATTCAAGATTTTATTTTATTTTATTTTTTTGCAATTTATCAGTAAATGCATTTAAAAAAAAAAACCTTAAAAAAACAATGTATATTTATATATATATATATATATATATAATACATTCTTCTAAAATGTGTCATTGTTTTGTTTTTTACTATTTCTTTAATAGTTACTAAAATAATGGGTCTTTTATTTATAGAAGTAAACATTGGTTTAGAACTTGCTCACTTATGTATAACTATCTCTATGAAATCTATTTTGTTCAAAACATTTCTGTTTGTGGATGTTGTATATGTCAGACATTAGCATTTTTTAACTGGGTCAACTCATTGGACTGAAGCTTTCAGTTCTAAATCTTCAAATTCTATTTTTTTTTAATGATTGTTAAAAAATGTATATTTTGAATAACTACAATATGAGCATATGATAACTTTTATCATTACCATTTTCATAAATAGTGATTACAGGAAATACATTGTACATTACCTGCTTATTGATAGACAGTTAGCAAAAATAGATAAACATCCAGCAAAATTTTTTTTTAGTCGACTGTATTTATTTATATAGAAACATTTGCAGGTAAAATGGTAATTTAACTCTCAGATTAAAAATGTTTATGTTTGTCAAACCCCACAAGACTTATTTATAAGTTGTAATATATCTTAATACTGTGATGACTTGAAGTAGTGAATTTATTTCTGCTTTTTTTTATGTTATAATTTAAATATTAAACACTGCCTGATGAAAGTTACTTATTAGTCAATTTGTACTAATAAAATAGTGAATCTTAAACCAGTCTTTTTTACCTTAAAAACAGTTGTTTTTTCTGTCCCCCACTTTTGTTATCATGAACATTTCACTGAACTATCATGACATCACTATAATGATTGATTGTTTCTTAGTTTTGTTTTTTTAACCCTAAATCTTATTTGAACACTTGTTGAAAATGTATTATTATAACACTAGGAGGTTGGATGTGGCTGAACTTTAAATCCTGTGTGTTTGTCAGATTTTTTAATTTGACACTAGGTTTCCCAATGTTTTTTGTGGGGAGATTGGGTTTTTGCTGTAGAAATTCAAGTGACATGCTAATCGAATTCACTTTTCTGTTGGCTTTTTAAAATTTTTTTTATTATTATTGAAGCTTCAGATTTTAAAAATTATTAAACTTTGTCAGCAGTTTGAAGGAGGAGGAGTAATGCCCCCTTTTTTAGGCTTCTTTAAGAGTTGATAGTGCTACATGCTGTTGAAAAAAAAAGTGGTTTCTAATTTAATTTTTCTTATTTCATTTGTAGTAACTTTGGTTTCTTATTTCTTAGAGTTTGTTTTATTTATTGAGGGATACATCTTGTTCACTTTGCTCAAATGTCATTGTCCACATCCACTCATTACATCCAGATATTGTGACACTTGTACTCAGATTGTCCTGCGTAGCCTTTGAAAATCAACTAGTGCTAAATGCCTACTTTGTATAGTAGCTGAGTGAACCAAAAGGAATGAATGGTTGTTTATATTTTTTACTGTGTTAATTTTTTTGTTTGAACAATGCAAATGCTGTACAAAGTCTTGTTCTGATCATTTTGTATTCTATTTCAAGGGCTGTTTGAAAATGCTTTATCATTGAGAACTAATTGGTTCATTCAAATATATATACAAAGAAAATGCTGGACCATTTCTGAAGTGTCATAACTATCAAGGCATCAATACCAAGATTTTGCATTGCACAATTTGGTTGATAACAGGATAGTTGTCATAGTTTTGTTAAAACTCTTAACACATATTAAACTTTTTTTTATACACTATTTCTCTCCCCTTTTGTTACATTCTTACTTTAAAAAATTTAAAGTTCATTTTAATTTCTATTTTAATAGTTTATTATTAAGACAAAAATATATTTTTTAAATTTTTTTTTACTAAATCTGTTGTTTATATTTAATGTTTATATTTCAAGTTGGGGAGCTATATTCAGAGAAATTATTTTAATTTAAACCGATTCAAAACATTTTAAGATTAGTTTTGTACTGTACAAAATGTATGTGAGTTATTTTGTTATTACAACTTGAAAGAGCACAGTTTGACTCAATTCTAAAACTGTTGTCTCAAAAGTGCTCTCAAAGATTTGCTAAAGCTTTAGTCTCTCATCCACAGTTGAAATAATATAGTCTTCAAGGCCTTTAAGTCTATGGTCAACAATACTATGATCAATGGTTACTGAAGATGCTTGTGTTGCAGATGACTAGTACATCTCATTGCACCATATTGTGTCCCATTAAAATTGAATCGCAGCAGAGGTTAGGTTCTTTAGAAGGTCTTGTCTATCAAGCTGGATATCTGACTATGGTAAGAGAAAGTAAAAATGGTTAAAGGCCTCTTCCCCATAAGAATATTTCCAACTTTTAAATGAATTCTTTCTTTCTAATTTTGAACACATTGCCATCCTACAAAACTATGAACAGGAGAACTATTGAACTAGATGCGATCAGTGAGAATGATTGTATTGGTATCTGAGGTGATTGTGACCAATGCATTTTCTTGTGACTCATTGTTGCATTTGAAATTGTGCATTGCATCATTGATAATGGAGGGAAATAAATGCTTTTTAATTTTGTTTAAGTATATCATAGCTTTTTATTTTGACATTTCAGTTGTTACTATTCCAATATATTGTAGCCAATGTCGCTAATAAAATGAATCTAATGGTTGATAATGTTGTTTATTTTGTGGGGCTTTTAAAACAAAATATTTTTGTGATTTTTTTTTTTTACATTCTTAGTTTGTTCTTTTTTTTTTAATGGTTTGTGTCTTTAGTGTTAAAATGTCAATGCCAACAAAATCCTCTGTATTAAAATTATTTCAAATTAGTACAGTCTGAATTTTGTTTTAAGGCATTACAATGTGTAATTTGTAACTATGTACCAGCATAGTCTTCTCTGTGTCAGGAGAGCATATAGATGCTGTGCATATTGGCCAATTTCATAACTTCCTGGTTTCTTATACGAGGAATATTATCACATGATTCAATGCTCCATATTAAGCTATTGGCTTATTACTTGCTTTCTGATGTCTTGTACTGGTAAATATTTAATATGGCTGAACTTAGCAATGTACTTCAATTTTCCATTAGCTTAAGTAATTTATCTTCTTCTGAGAAATTTTATAGTCTTCATACCAGTATTTAAAAAGAATATCGTATGTTGAACTTATCTCTTGCTAAGTTAAATGGTGATCATTGTTAAAATTAAGTCTATATGAACTGGTGATCATGTTAAAATTAAGTCTATTTCAAGTGAACTGGTTATCTGGTATGTTATCATTTAAATATTTCAGCCTTCCAAGTGACCAGAAGAAATCAATCACTCATTGCTCATCATAAAAAAAACAAAAACATTTTCACAAATTAAATTATAAAAACATTTGATCAAAAGTGAAAAAGTAATTTAATTTTCAACTCCCATGATACAGAAGATCAAATAACATGCATTCAATCACAAACTAACCCTTGGTATCCATTTGAGCTCACTTTCACAATGAAACAGCCCCAAAGCACTGGACAAAACATTTTCCAGTCAACCAAATTATTTTTAAATCCACGAGCAGATAAACCAAAGTTGAAACTGCATACTGATTAAAATAATTGAGCTTTCTTAAAACATTACTAAAGTAAGAATAGAATACACTATTGAGCAGATAACCCAACTATATGGTGAAACAAAATTTAGTTCTTAATAATACACATTTCTGGTTAAGTTTTTATATAAGTTCAACAAAATAGATTAAAAATAAAATCTACCATTATCAAAATACACCCTGAAGTTGAGTTACCTGTAAGAAAGCAAGTATGTTGACTAGTTTTGTAACTTCAAAAATTTCACATTAATAGGTGATGTTGCTAAGTAAACTTATGCAGCTCTATATAAATGACAGACATTTCATGGTCAGTTCCAAATACCTTATACCATTACTAGATAGTGTGTTAAGAAATTGGATAATAACTAAATACAAATGTTGGATAATACTTAACTTAGCTATGGGATAAAACTCAGCATTCTTGACTTTAAAATACTGCAGGTTTATCCATGGTCTTAAAAAAAAAGGGGGGGGGGGGATAATAAGTATTTGTAGGGTTAGCACCTAGCTTTTCACATTATGATTCCACATCGTTAACTTAAGTACAAGAAGACTTAAGATCTAATAGAATGTTAAGATAGGGTCACAAGGTGTATAAAAAGGTCCAATGTCAGTTCCGATATGAAAAAATTATTTAGAACTGAATGCCTATTTTTAAAAAAAGTTAAACCACTGGTCTGTCAATAAACAAAATATTTGCCATTTTTTTAAAATCAAAATATTTACAAATACAAACGAGGATAATGCAATGAACATAATGAACATGAAAACAGTGAGGGGTTTTACAACTCTTAATGCTTTGTTAACAGACATAATTGTTTATCATTGTTTTGTTACCGGTATTAGGTTTTAAAATGCAATTTTATGTTCTAAACATTCTAAGTAAATGATTGCCACCGTCAATAAATAAACACATTTCTTAAATATTTGTAACATTTGAGAAAAAAAAAAGTTAATGCACTTAAAATACACAACCAAGTTTCAAATGTTTAACATTGCAGATATCGGTATCAAAAAATGACTGTAGCTTCCTTTATAATTCTACAACAATTTGGACAATCAAGTTTTTGATTCAAAAGCTATTCTTCATTACTTTTTTTTTTTTACTTTAAAATGTTGACTGCACTAATAAATTATGGCTTACCAATTACAAATATATGATGAAATCAGAACCAACATTCAGTATTTTCAAGCACATTTGACAGGAAGTTTTTTATTTTGTTTTTTCCTGTAGCTTTGTAAATAGAATTGGAACTCTCCGCGGTGGAGACAAAAATGTCCTAATGCCAGGTGAAGTAAGTGTTGATCCAGTTCTATGCTCAGTGATGTGTAACAAGCATAACAACAACAACAGTTATGTAATACTTACAACTGCAATGACTAGACAGTTGAATGTTTACCCCTGCCTTCACGGTCAAGATTGTCTCTGGGATATTTCTTCATTTTTATTTTATTTTTCCTCTATTTTATTATTTCAATCTTATTCTTCTCCCTTGCAAACATTGTATAGAATATGTATTTCAAGACAATATCCTCTTTTAAAGAAATACCACTGCTCCATTTTTTCACTGCCTGTGAGATAAATGACAAATGATCACACAGCAGTTGGATGTTACATTACACATAAACTCCCTTTTAAAAAAAAAAATCATGATTGTGTCATTCAATTGTACAATGTGCATAATAATGTAAAAGTCACAACAAAATGTTCATACATATACAAATAAAGTTCATGTTACAGGCAATACATATTGAAATGCCTTTAAAAAATAACTAAATTAGTAAAAGGAACAGTTAAATGTAAATCTGTGTAATACTTGACAAAAAAAATTTTCATTCATCATGGAACTTTTTTCTTTTTTAGGGTATATTATATATGTAATGTTAAAAATCAGTTTAAATGATTAAATAGATAAAAAAAAATTTAGAAGATAATTCTGTACATTATATTTCTTGCAAAGTTGCTTTTATTTTTTTCAGAACATCTGATTATTCATACTAACACATTCACTAAAATTTCCTGTTAAAAAAAACAGCAAAACTGTTCCATGCAAAGGGGGATAACTTTAAAAAATAATAATAAAATGGGAAAAACAACAATTGTCATTTTAAAAACTGTATACATTCAATTAGTTAAGAACAAAAGAAAACCTCAGATGCACACCATTTCTAAGGTTGGCCTTATACACAGCAGTCTAAGCTGTTTTATTTTAAATACCTACTGGTATTTAAAGAAATAGGTCAATAAATCTGTAAACATACTATTGTCACCACTGTAAAAGGTTAAATTGTAAGTAACCATGTCATCCTCCTCATTTAGAGCCCCAAAAACTACCAGACCTCTTTTAATGCAAAAGTGAAAAAAAAAACACTGTTGGCAAGTTCCTAGCTCACTGAACTGCACTAGGAGTTTAAGGCATATACTGCATTGACATATATAAATAACTACATTGTATTGCAAAAGTGAAAGTATTATACACTTTATGAATAGATCGTTACTTACTGTATATTTTTAAAAATTGACTCTGAATCTACTGGTTGTAAATTGCCTTTCAATGAGTAAAAAAAATCTCCAGACGGAATAATCTAATTACCCTCAAGAAAATCAAAACTCAAATAATTTTTTTGTAAGAACTATTCATATAAATTGGTAGGTAATATTGCACAAAACCACAACACCTGAACACACACAAAATTAGTAGTCATAACTAAACCTTATTTATAAAATACTGCCATGTAACAGAAGAAAAAAAAAATTTCTGATTATTTCCTTACATAATTTGAATTTCAAAATTCTTGTTTATATTACTTCCCACTGACCATAAATTATGACCAAAAAATAATAAAAAATACAATCTCAGAATGTTTAACTGGATTTCAGTTCCTCTGTTTCTTTAATATGACTGCATGCGTTTTAAATACTCTTGTCTGACAGGGTGATCATCTGCACCAGGACGATTGATTGGCGTCCAAACAGGCTCTCCTACAAACAAGCGTTTTACTTTGATGTAGTTCTGAAAATATAAAAAGAAACACAAAATATTATTTTATTTCATTGAAGAAAGACATGAACTAACAAAAAATCAGGCAGAAAACATACTAAAAAAAAAAAAGAAACCACAAAATAACTTTAAAGGTTTATTATGAGTACAACAGCTCAACAATGTGGCAATGAAAACATGAACTGGTCAAGGTCAAGAGCTCAGCCACCTGGTCATACCAGACATCTAGAGTAAATGTATGTATTACCCGGTATAAAGCATTGTTTTATAGAGTGAAAATTTTGGATCAATTTGGCACATATGTGTCTATATAATGTTGTTACATATTCATGTGCAGGCAACTATACCAAAATGATCACTTTGAAAAAAATAATAAAACTAGTCGATATGATACTAGATAAGTCTCTTGTATTAAAATAGAAAACTTTCATTTCAGCACACATGAATACCAATACTACTACTACTAATATTAATAATAATATGAAAACCTAAGAGTAGAGATTAGGCATCTATGGCAGTTATCTAAAATAACAATATACCCTATTGTTATATCAACCTAGGGGATAGTGACAACTGACCTCGCAAACTATTCAAAGTCCTAAACCTCCCTAAGAAGATTCTAGTTACCAGTCAGAGGCAATAATGCTGCAGACCTGCCACATCATCTGAAAATTTCTCAGTGGACACTGTTAAGGGGAATATAATGAATTTTGTTTCCCTTTCATGAAGCTCAACCCTGGCAGTGCCAGAGAGTGAGAATTAGTTCCTTTGTACAATATTAATAATGATGTCATTATTTATATAATACTGTTCTTCTTCTTCTTCGTTCTCATTGTTATGTTGGAGTGTTCAGATGACTAGACCAATACATGAGATGAAATGCGCAGTGGTTTCCAGATCAGGGAGCTCTCCATATAGTTTCCTTTCTATTGGGGTGATTTGGGGCCAATGTCTTATACGGGCCTCTTGGTATAGAGAGCAGTTTTGGAGGACGTGGTCTGTATTCTCTGGTGATTCTCCACATGGGCAGATTTCACTGGTTCCAATTTTGAGCTTCCGGTACATGTGTTGTCGCATTCTGTTGTGTCCGGTCCTGAGTCGAAAGATTAGACGTTGGTCTTGTCAGGATAGCTTATAGTAAGCGTCATCTTTATTGTGATTTGGATGAGAGCTCGTCCATTTCTCATTTATTTTATTTACTATTAATTTCTTCAATTCTTCTGGATAGAGTGCAGAGTTTATTAGTGTGTTAGTTCTCCCACTCTTAGCGAGTGTGTCAGCCTTCTCATTTCCTTCTAGTTCTATATGAGCTGTGATCCATTGAATTACAGTTTTTTTGCTGTTGATGTTGAGCTTTGTAAGTGCTGTTTTGAGGTTATTAATATATGAGGAATCAGAGTTTAGCAGGCTTTGGAGGGTTGTTTTTGCATCGGTTAGTAAGACAATCTGACTGTGTGGGGAATTTGGATGATTTGCTAGGATGGTAGCAGCTAGTGCTAGTGCTTCCCTTTCTGCTCTGTGACTGTCAGAGAGCTCTCCAGTTGCAATAGATTTTTCTAGTTTTCCTCCATCTGGCCATTCGATAAGTATATAAGCTCCTCCATTTGTAGTGGCTTTATGGGTTGAGCCATCTGTGAAAACTCTGATCCAGTGATTGGTAGGATAATTGGTATGTAGAAAACAGTTCACTATTTTCTTGAGCTCTGTTGGTCTGTAATCAGATTTTCTTTTAATGCTTTCAATATGGTCCCTTATAGTAGGAAGAGGGCTTTCGTCCCAGGGTGGAGATTCATTATAGTGTATCGAGGATTCCAGGGTAATTTTTTCAAGTTGGTGTTTCTTTTTTAGGTTTAGAGATTCCTGTATGACATTGGTCCTTTTGAGGCGTTTTTTGGATTTTTGTTCTGAGTGGGTGCCTCTCCATGGTTTCCAATTTAGTGAATTGGGAAAGGATTTTTATTTCTCTTCTTTCCTCCATAGCTCTTATGGGTGTTGTTTTGATTGCTCCTGTCATTATCCTTAGACCAATATTTTGAACCTTGTCTATTTTTCTTAGGTTGGTTTGGGCTGCTGAGCCCCATGCTGTGGCACCATATTCTAATACAGGTCTCACGTAACTGGTATAGGTCTTTTTCAGGATGTTGTGATTTGCTCTCCAATCTGTGCCAGCTAATTTTTTCAAGAGGGATAGTCTCTGGATGCCTTTACTCTGTGATTTATCTATTTGGCTTTTCCAGGTTAGTCTCGGGTCATAGGTGACTCCAAGGTATGTAGGGCTGTCATTTTTTTCTAAAGCTTCCTTATCTAATGCTAATTTTATTGTTTGCTGTTTTGTTGACAGTGAGAATATGGTATATGTGGTCTTTTTTGTGTTGATGGACATGCCCCAGTCTTTGGACCAATTATTGAGTATACCGAGAGCATCTTGTAATCGAAATTTTGATGTTCCTACACTGAAGCCCAGGCTGGCTTTAGAAAAGGCAGATCAACAGAAGATCAAATCGCCTTTATCACACAAGAAATAGAAGATGGCTTTCAAGAAAAGAAACCAACAACAATTGTGTGGGTTGACTTAGAAAAAGCATTTGACAAAGTCTGGGAACAAGGTCTCTTGCTCAAACTAATCCAGCATCACATATCCCACAGAATGTACAACTGGATAAAGGAATATCTAAATAATAGAAAAGCCTTAGTTTGCATGCAAGGACAAAGAAGCCACACAGTGGGTATAAAAAATGGTGTCCCCCAAGGAGGAGTCCTATCCCCAACACTTTTCCTAATATTCATAAACGATCTAAATCAAAACCTACCAAGAAAAGTTAAAAGCAGCATGTATGCAGATGACCTTGTCTTAATTAGCACAGAAGAATATAATACTGTTAATAAACACAATGTAGGCTCAAATACCTTTCAAAATGTGAATAGGAAAGTCAAATGTTCTTCTTAAATATAATGATGCATGTTAAGTTTTATGTAGTGATGCCTGTAGACTCCCTGAGCTACAACTGTTGGTCCAACCTTTGGTCCATGTACTGAAAAGGCACTTAGGCCTTGAGAGAGAAACACAGAGAAACAAGAAGAAGTCCATGAAAAGTAGTTGTCCAAGGGACATAGAAAGCAGTCAGTTCACTAAGAGATGAGGGTATTTAATCATTATAGATGCAGTGATAGCAAAGATGAGTGAACAAGAAAAGCAGTATCAGAATTGTGTCTTCATTTGCATAGGGCTCAATGAGCAGCACTTATTTGAATGCACTGACTTAGTAATCATGTATACCTAGCACAGTATGTTAGAGTCTCAAGGAAGAAGAAAAATACACAAAAATACTTTTTTTAAAAAACAAAGCTTATATTAATGTGTATCAATTAGTTTGGATCAGTCATGTAATTAAATTTGTAATAGATCTAGACTAA